TCCACATCATTAAGCTTATATCGCAAACATTAAAATCAATTCCAAATTTAAACAATTTAAAAACCAATCTTGGTTCAGTTTGACATAAACGTATCTGTAACACGGGTTGACAGTGGGACTTGCCTCTCTCTGTGTAGATAAAATGGCACTAAATAAAGCAAAATAAAGCCAATCATTTGTGGGAACTTTTTGGCAATCCCTTTACGTTTACTTTGCAACACCAGGACATTTTCAATTCCAGTTTTCACATTTTGATTTCACGTTTATCTACCTTGACGGGACCCACCTACTACAACTAGCACAGTGTTATCTCGTTATTATATTACGTGGATATTGACATGAATGGCATTGTATAAATCTAGATTAGAAGAGGATAGTTCGAACACTCAGTAGGAAATTTTACAATTAATTGTAATTGCTAATAGTATACATGTAATAGTAATTAAGATATTACCAGCCTTGTTCCATTATATGTGCGTTTCAATGATCTAAATTTTATTGATGAGGGTCAAAAACATTTACAACCAAATTGGCTTACCTGTATAACAGTCACATTTAGTACTGAGAAGGAAAAATATTTTGGAAATTCGTTGTGAAGAACAGTTTTTCTTTTAATTAAGTTCAACATTTCTTAGCCCTAAAATGCAAACAGAGAGATCTATATATTCTTTAAAACCTCCATACGTACTCACAGTCGTTGTGCAGAAAACAATTTTCCTTACTCTGTCGTTGTCTACCACAACAAGAGTAAAAAGTTAAAAATTACTTTAATGTAGATCTAAGTGTTTTTTCGCTCCTAACTGACACAAATAAGATCTCTATCATTTAGTGTGACTTAGGGGGCGGGCTTTGATCATACCTGATGTCGGAGGGAAAATTAGCGAGAAAATGGCTGCCAAAGTTTGGCGACTTCCGAAGTTTCAGAGTCCTTGGAAACTGCTAATCTACATTTTTTTGTGTGCTTTAGATCAATGTTTTTCAAAAGAAACTGCAGAAAAGTGCTTTCAAATGAACTAACAATAATTTTTTTTTAAAGTGCTAGTAGCATGGACATATTCCTTAAATTTCATTTTTTTGATGAGCGCCCGATTTCCCCACCATGCCACACATTTAATGATTTTGGCTTGACTCAGTCCTTGTGCTTGCATTTTCCAACAAACAGATATTCTAAACTGTCTTGAACATTATAATAGATAACAGATAGCATATTTGTATAAATTGTACAGCACAAATCCCCCCTCAACAGCAAGCTCTATATGCTTCACAATCTGTACTATTACCTCAGCAGACCTGAGAGTCGAGAGCATTCTGAAACAGCTTCCTGGGTAGCATACAGGGCAAGCGGCTATTTATAGGCGCTAAAATACTAACATACCGACAAGATGTTTCGCTGCCTATGGCCGGGTATGTACCCATTCCCACCTGGGTGAAGTGAGGAAAATTCCGGTAGCCTAACCACTAGACCACTGACAACCTCATGATTACAAGTCCGGTAGCCTAACCACTAGACCACCGACAACCTCATGATTACGAGTCCGGTAGCCTAACCACTAGACCACCGACAACCTCATGATTACGAGTCCGGTAGCCTAACCACTAGACCACCGACAACCTCATGATTACGAGTCCGGTAGCCTAACCACTACTAGGCTGAACCTGTCCTCATAGATGACTACCTATTATCTAGGAGAAAAATGGTCATCTGAGACGAGTGGTCCTCTTGGACAGTATCATTTTAAATTTATAAATTGAATATATACAAGTGGAGAAGTGGTTTATTTGTACAGGAGATGATTGTCTTGGACAGGTGATGGTTAGAGCAGGTGAACGTGTAGACAGATACAAATACAATCACAGCTTTGAGATCGATACTGCCGTTACGAGGCATAGCAACGTTTCTGTCAAAATCAAGGTTTTTTGGGGGTTTTGTTTTGTTTTTTATGGGAGGGGGGTATGGCTTTGATATATTCGTCCTACCCATATCCTATATATCCTTCTTGTATCAAAGGCAGGGCGACGAATATCTACATCCAGAATCGTTTGTTGGTTTGAGTAAAGAGAAGCACATTCATCGACACAATAACAGTCATTTTTTGGGTCATATTTGTCACATTTTTCTCAAAAATCATGAAATGTGGAGTTTCGTCGCTTTACCTTGGAACGGCTGAATAGGTCATGAATACAATACAAGAAAACTGCAAAGTAAGCTAGACTGAAATATTTAAAACACATGGTTTTTATACATGACTGAATAAACTAGTAAACAAAATGGTCTGCAACACAAGTAAATCAGGAAAATGTTCTAGTTTTAAAAAGCATTTTGCAGCACTTGCAACACAATTATGTCATATATAAGTGCCGAAGATTAGAGGGTGTTACAAAAGGGGAGGGGGGGGGGGGGGTGGAGGAGAGATAAGGATGATAGATTTTTTAATGGGAAAGAAGGTGCAGACCACACCAGAGCACCCCTCCCCCAACCCCCCACAAATAGGAAACTGAGCATTGACTTAAGGAATAGAAATAAAATGGCAAAAAGAAAGAAATTACAGCTGTTGATTTCTGTACCATGGAATGGCAACATGTAGATATGTGTCACGACGCGGTGGAATCAGGTGCTCATCAATTTTGGTTATCTGGAATTATTCATTGGTATCATCTTAAAGTTTGTTCATTTGACCATCTTTTGATTAAAAAAATACACGCCTATCTTGAATAGAAGTCGAGATATTTGAGATTGAAGAAGGTCGGGGTCGCCTGTTTCAGAGGTAAAATTAATAAGAAAATGATCGCCACAGATTGGTGATTTCCAAAGCTTGAGAGCCTTTGGAAACTGAAAATTCATATTTGTTGTGCCTTTAATCCATGTTTTTAAGTAAAATCCAAAAAGAAATATATTTTTTAATGGACATAAAACATGTCGAGTAAAAAACAATTTAAATTATAAAAAATTGTCAAACTCAAACTGGAGGAAAAATGCTGAGATCTTCGATTTCATTATTTTGACGAGCGCCTCATTTCACCACGATGCCTCACATATATATATATATGCATATATAAAAAATATCATCATTTAATATATAAGTAGTGGCAAAACAGATCATGAACAATATCACAAGCGAGTATTTCATGTCGGAATGTTTGTGCATGTGTGCGAGTTTGTGTGTGTGTGTGTGTGTGTGTGCATATGTGTGCGCGCGTGTGTGTGCATGTGTTAGAGTGTGTGTGTGTGTGCGTGTGTTAGAGTGAGTGTGTGAGTGCATATATGTGTGTAAGCTGAAATACAAATTTTCCCAATGACACAACAATGTATCTATGTCAAATACAATAAAAGTTTTTACAATGGTCAAACTACACAAGTAACTAATCAATGTCGATAACGGAGTCACATACAGAATAACAGGGATAGCTCGAATTCTTCGCGGCCAGCCTCGGTAGTTCGCGGGATCCAAAGTTTTTGAGGGATATCTTTCAAAAACAAAGAAGAAAAAAAAAAACAGGACCGCAGGCACAGTTCGACGGAAGCGTAATTTCCTGTCTTCTGTGTTCGACCTATCCGTGTTATACTGTATCTATATTTTCCCACAACCATGTTCAGAAGCATTGTTCATTTTTCTCAAAATCATGAAATGTGAGTTACGTCCCTCTGTCTTTCGACCGCAGAGTAGTCCCTGCTTCCCCAGATGTCGGAAATACTGAGTACAGTGACAAACCACAGCTAGCTGACAATAACATATAAATACTTTGCCATATATATCGACTGGCCGAAGGGTTAAGTAGAACTCAGATGGGCGCTAGATTGGAAGAGTAAAGTAACGTAAAGTAAAGTAAAGTAAGTAGACTGCACAGAACCTTCCACAGACAAAAGACAAGACACTGAGGCTTCAATCCAAAAGAAGTCTCCGTTTCAGTTTCAGTTCACCACCTTTCCAGCGTCATCTTAAGCCTTATTGACCATAACAAAAAACAACAACATTAAAAACCCAAAAATTTTACAGAGCAGGACTTTTTTAAATTCTGAAATCCCATCCTTCGAAACAGGAGCGCCATTTTCAATGTCAGGAAAGACATTGAAAGTTAAAGATCTGGGATTTCTTAACCGCTGAACTGGTGAAATAAATTAAATGCCTTGTGTTGGACAGGCACGAGTTGTCAAAAGTAGGCTTATTATGAAGATCTCAGATCTGATATATCTAATAATCTATACTTCGGCTTATGTAGTCTTCCTCACAGCTGTTTGTTGTTTAAGTTTGAGGTAACTTCTGTTAACTTGAGAGACATTTTCCGTTTTTTAAAATGAAAAATGTTCTTGCTTCGATTATCCTATTAATGTATTTTTGGCTTATGTAGTCCTGCTCACAGCTGTTCGTTGTTTAAGTTTAAGGTAACTACTGTTAACTTGAGACATATTTGTGAGGTGTGCTGACAAAATGAGTTGATTCTCCCATTTCAGCCCTATGGACACAAGAAAGATACAAGATGAAATGTATGGGTTGGGCTGGAACAATTTATTCTATGAAATGATAACAGACATGTTTAACTTGATGAAAACGGCTTCAGTTTTAAATCTACAAATTTGATGGGTGTCTTTTCGGACAATATCTCCATTCATGGATCGCGAGAAGAAACTCATTTTGTCAACACGCCTCACATTAGTTTATTTATAAACGCAACATGTTCTTATTTGAACAATCCTATCATCAATTTCAACATTCAACAGAATAATACAGTTGGAATTCAGACAATATTTGTCTACAAATCATTTCATATCACAGCATTCTCTCTCAAACATAGGTAATATGTGTGTGTGTGTGTGTGTGTGTGTGTGTGTGTGTGTGTGTGTGTGTGTGTGTGTGTGTTGTGTGTGTGTGTGTGTGTCTCTCTCTCTCTGCCTCCCTCCCTCTCTCTCTCTCTCTCTCTCTCTCTCTCTCTCTCTCTCTCTCTCTCTCTCTCTCTCTCTCTCTCTCTCTCTCTCTCTCTCTCTCTCTCTCTCTCTCTCTCCCTCTCCCTCTCTCTCTCCCTCTCTCTCTCTCTCTCTCTCTCTCTCTCTCTCTCTCTCTCTCTCTCTCTCCCCCTCCCTTGTAGCAGTGGACCATACACATACTTACAAAATAACAATCTAAACCTTTGCATGAGCAAATAAAATAGTAGAAGGGTTTCGTGAAAAAATACACACACTATATGCCCAACTTTCAAATCAAAACATTTTTAGAACAATTTGTTTGCCATAAAACTTATTGCTTGTCTTCCCTCTTGGTTGTTCTAGAAATGGGTGGTTATCAAAAACAAAAAAAATGGAACTTAGTTTTAGTAAGAGTTTGATGGCACTCGCAACACAATAAGTTCATATAGATCTAAGTGCCGAAGATCAGATGTGTTACAAGAGAGTAACAAACACAAAAAAAAGAAGGAGGAGAGATAAGAACAATGGATGTTTGATAGGAAAGAAGGAGGCAAACCACACCAGAGCACCCGCCAACCTCCCACAGTTACAACAACTTTAGACAAAAGAGAGCCCACTCAATCACGACAGCACCAACACCGCCACAGCGACAAAGACTAAGCCTAAGACAGGGCCTGGCGTCACGGAACTGCCAAAAACATTGGGGTCGAACTCAAAGCAGTCAGCACTGTCCACCACGTCAAAGTTCTGAGCTTCGCAAAAAGCTGTCCCATTGGAGTATTCTTCACCTGGGGATATAATAATACAAAATAAAAAATAATCATCATCATCATCATAATAACGTTGACCATAGCAATAATAATAATAATAATAATAATAATAAAAATAGTAGTAGTAGTAGTAGTAGTAGGAATAATAATAACAGTCATAATAATAATGATCTTGTCAGTATGTTAGTGTTTTAGCGCCTATAAAAGGCCACTTGCACTGTATGTTTCCCAGGAAGTTGAGGTTGTTTCAGAATGTTCTCAGGTCTGCTCGGGTAATAGTTATAGAATGTGAAGTGCATAGAGCTTGCTGTTGAGCGGGGACTTGCGCTATACAAATGCTATCTATTATTATCATTATGACTAGCACTTGTGCTCTCGTACCAGCTTTCTATGGAGAAAACTGTTCGCTCTATTCTTTGCCTCATGGCAATTAATAATAATAATAAATAATAAATGACATTCATATAGCGCTCAACCCCGATTAAAGTACACAGGCTCTGAGCACTTTACAATACAGTACAACGTACAGCAGTAACATAAAACTTTGTGTTCTGACTCAAAAAACCAACTTCAAATATTCATTTTATTATTAATTGAAAAACAAAAACAGAAATGACTTCAGCTGACATTTGAATGAATCAAAAATTAGCGACATTAACTTACCTATCAAAGTTTTCTGAAAACCGGCCGTCTTACATTCCTCGTACATAGCGTCACAATAGTCCGGGCACACCATCACTTTTCTGACCACGCAAGAAAAGAGAGATAAAGGTTAGGATCAAACAGAGGGGGTGAAAGAAGATTAAAAACCAAAACAAAAAAAATATTAGTGTAACAAACAAAAGAAGAATGAGCTGTTTTAGTATTGTTTTAGTAAGGGAGATGAAGACTATAGATGTTTGGTAGGAAAAAAGGAGCGAAACACACCAGAGTACCCGCCAACCACCAACTTTGATTACTCAATCAGACACTCTGCAACAACAACCTCAC